CAGGTACTCCTCTCCCACGACCTCCTCTCCTCCTCTCTCCTCCTCTCTCCTCCTCCTCCTCTCTCCTCCTCCTCCTCTCTCCTCCTCCTCCGTCCTCCCTCCCCTCTCCCTCCTCCTCCCTCGGCCCTCCTCCCCCTCCTCCTCTTTCCGCCCTCCTCCTCTTTCCGCCCTCCTCCTCTTTCCGCCCTCCTCCTCCCCTCCTCCCCCTCGGCCCTCCTCTTCCTCCCTCCTCCCTCCTCCCCTCTCTACTCCCTCCTCCCTCCTCCCCTCTCTACTCTCTGTTCCCTCCTCCATCCTCCCCCTCCTCCTCCCCCTCCTCCGCTCTTCCCCCTCGTGTCTCTACGATTTTTGATCTTCTCGCCATGGACTCTTCACCTTTCCCCTGATCATTCTCTCCAATCCCCCGCCCCCTCCTTCTCCTCCTTCGACTTTCCTCCGTCCCCAGTCTCGCGCTCCGCCGCCTCGTCTTCCCTCCCTCCTCACGCTCGGTGCGCAGGCTGTCATCAAGAAGTATGGTGTGAAATGTACAAAGCCAACGGATGACTTGACCGTCATCGTCGTACACTTCGAATGGCCTTGATGTTGTTGTGCTCCTAGATGTTTTTCCTTCTTCTTTTTTTTTCCTCCTCTGTTCCTCTTTTTTTCTTCTGTTCTTTGGACTTCATTCATTTTCCGAGATCATCAAAGTACTGTACCTTGACTTGTCTTGCAACGTCCACTGCGAGAGTTTGCTCTACAACTCATCGTCGTCCTCGTCGTCATCATCATCACCATCATCACCGTCTCATCCTCGTCGTTATCATCATTACTCTTGCTTCCTCCTCTTCGTCATCGTCATCATCACCATCCTCGTCCTCGTCCTCGTCCTCGTCCTCGTCATCATCCTCGTCATCATCCTCGTCATCATCCTCGTCCAAACCGCCACCATGCGCTTCTTCATTTACATCTCCATCATGTTCATCCTCGTCGTCATCATGATCACCTCTTGCTCCTCTAGGGGCTGGTGGGGCTGGAGGCCGGCGTACGGGGCGGATTTCTCGTCGGGCAAGGAGATCAAGTCCAACGTCCTAGAGGCTCAGCCTCGGCCGTCAGTGTGTCCGGTAGGCCACGTCATCAAGACCGACGCCTCCAGCTTCCCTTCCTTCGCCGTCTGCGACCGATGCTCCCCCGACTCCTACCCCGCAGGGAGAGAGGGAGGGCCGAGGGTCAGGCCGAGGGTCTCCTTTGACTGCTTCTTTTTTTCCAAACGTCGTAAATTGCTCTCGATGCGGCTTCGGTCGAGCAGGTCGAGCATGCAGGCGCTGCTGCTGCTTGTGGTCAGCTGGAGTCTGTTCCAGCAGCGAGTCGAAGCTGAGGCGGCTAGATGCGGAGATTGTACTTTCAACGTGACTGATGGAGTTCTGGAGCGAACGTCGGAAGGAGCCTGTGGTGTCTTGTGTAGAGACCTTAGCTTGAGCAATATGGGGATCAGAAGCATCGCAAGAGGAGCTTTCACCAACATGACCAGAGTCAATACTCTTGCGATTGACAATAACGAGCTATCGAGTCTGCCATTAGAGATTGGCAGCCTTGTCAGCCTGACGACGCTCTTTCTCAGCCACAACAAGTTGACTTCCATTCCCTTGGGTATCTTCACGAATGTGTCAGGGATTCAATATCTCAGTATCAGCTACAACCAACTGTCAACTTTGCCAACAGACATCAACGAGCTCAAAGAATTGAAATTTCTTCTTGTCAACAACAACCAGCTTACAAGCTTCCCGGATGGAGCCTCCACCAAATTGACAAACCTCTTCTTCCTGGAACTGAGCTACAATCAGCTGTCAAGTATCCCAGGAAGTATTAGCGGTCTTCCCGGACTTGTAGAATTGATTCTCAGTCATAATCAGATCACTAGCATCCCGATAGGATTCTTTGACAACATGCCTATGCTGGATGCTGTTGACTTGCGCTACAACCAGCTCACTTTGATCTCTGATAAAACATTCGGGCACCTCCAAGTACCCAGCTCCACTTTGATCGTGGTCCTCTCCTACAACAACATCTACTGCATCGATGCTGCCGCCTTCGACTCTCTGCCTGCAGGTGTATCCATCGACATCACAAACAACAACGCCAGCCTCTGTGTGCATCCCTCCTGGCCTGACTCCGTATCCTATGATGCCGGCCTCCAGCAGTGCTCTGACAACACCAGCCTCTGCTTGTCCTCCGCTCAGTCCTCAGCCTACTGCAGCCAAGCCGGAGACGCTCTGCTCTGCTCGTGCCCTGCTGGCTTCTTCCCTCAGCTCTCTCTCGGACTCTACACCTGCCAGCCTTGTCCCCCTGCCTCCTTCAAGTCTTCCCCGGGCACGGCGAGCTGCTCCGCCTGCTCCACCAGCCCCTGCGACGTGGGGCAGTACCGACAGGCCTGCAACAGCACGAGGGATGGGGAGTGCAGGGAGTGTACGAACAAGATGGCAGGGGAGACGGTGTACGTGGGGTCAGGGTATCCGTACGATCGTGACTTCTGTCCTTGGGACTGCAAGGCAGGATACAAACTGAGAATGGACGAGAGCTGCTCGGCCTACTGCGATATGATATGAGAGGAGGGATGTTGGGAGGACGAGAAGAGGAAGAGGCAGGAAAGAGAACCTGGAGGTCGGACCTCTCTGCTGGGAGTCCCCACTCCTGTTGTTGTAATGGAGTTCGTCTTGATTCAATGCACTCAATCGGAGAACTACCACGGCAGCAGTAGTAGGTAGGATTGCAAGCCTGTAAGAAACAAAATGGCAGCATCAATGTTTGATCCGGCAACGAAAACGTAGAGACGGTATACAGGTCGAGGACCAGGACGAGGGAAGGAGCACGTGGCAGCACAAGCCTGAAGGACTTACAGAGTTGACTGAGAGGCACCTGCAGCTACTGCTCACACAGGAGGGAGAGGGAGAGGGAGAGGGAGAGGAGAAGGAAGAGGGGGAGGAGGAGGCGCAGAAGAATCAGAAAAAGGAGCAGGAGCATGAAGGAGTTCATTAGCAGCAGAGCAAAGAGCAAGATCAGCATGAGGAATGGAAGCAGGAGCATGTGCAGGAGGAGCATTAGGAGCAGAAACAAAAGCAGCTGCACCAGGAGCAGGACCAGGATGCGTCGCCAGAAGTGGGGGAGTATTCTTCACAAGTGCCTCCTGCGTCTTGCCGCCTCTCGCGCATGGTCGACCTCCTCGGCCCCCTCTCGACTGCTCCTGGCGGTCGGGTTGCGATGTGAAGAGCAGTGGAAGTACAGGATGGCGTTGAGGAGGGAGGCAGTGACGGAGCACATCCCACAAAGCCTTCGGAGGACGAGGCTGTTCCTGTCTGACGGCTTGATGCACTTCGAGGACGTCGAGCGGTACCAGGAAGGGACGAACATGTATGCCGTGCTGGAGAAGAAGAGCTGGGAACTGCGGATCGGGGAGGAGGAGTTGGAGACAGCAGAGTCGAAGCTGAGGGTCCTGTTTGAGTATGAGGAGAGCTTGACAAGGGGAGAGGAGGAAGACTGGGAAAAGCGAGAAAGATGGCCTCGCCTCGCCTCCCCTACTCTCCTCTCCCCTAAAACGTACCAAAAAAGAGACAAGGATGTCATCGGGTTGCACGAAGACATCAAGTGGTTGGTACGAAGACATCAAGCGGTTGGTACGAAGACATCAAGCGGTTGGTACGAAGACATCAAGCGGTTGGTACGAAGATATCAAGCGGTTGGTACGAAGATATCAAGCGGTTGGTACGAAGACATCAAGCGGTTGGTACGAAGACATCACGGCACTGAACCAAGTGGTTGGTACGACTCTGAAGACATCAAGTGGTTGGTACGAAGACATCAAGCGGTTGGTACAACAGCCGCCGCTCCATCGGACTGCCACCAGTCGGCGAGTCAGACTCGCCCACTGAGACTGACGCCGCGTGGTCAGGCCCGGCGCCGGGCCGAAGCCCCGGCCCGGTTCACTGACCCAGTGACTGAGATCATCATTCAACGGACAGTTGCACCGTTGGTAATCAAAATTGACATTGCCGTTACGCCATCGTCGCTATGCCTAAGTACGGGATCTCCGCTGACCCCGTCAAGGCGGCGATGCTGACAAGCGCCTCCTCGTCGCTCTCTCAGCCCTTCCTCCTCCCTGACTCTCTCTTCTCCCCGCCCTCCTCGCTCCTCCTCCCGTCTACCAAGGAAGCCAACGACAGATGGGTCGAGGGGGAAAGGCCCTGGCGCAAGGCAATGGGCGAGGTAGGCGAGGACAGACGCGACGAGAATGCGAACGGAGGGAGAAAGGAGGAAGTGAGCCGTCGAGCAGTCAGGCTGAGCGTGCGGGTGGAGCAGAAGCAGGAGGAGGAGGAGGAGGAAGGAGAGGCGCAGAATGCAAACGAGAGCTCTCCGATTTCACCATGGAAGTTGCGGTGGAATGCGGCTATCCGTTCGCTGGAGAGGAGAGCGAGTCGTGTGAGGAGCGTGAAGCAACTGAGTCACAAGACTCGCTGCACTCCTGAGCGGCAGGACGGCGCTGAAGTTGTTGCTGGAGTCGCACAGGCCGGAGTTCATGCAGAGACAAGCCCTCCCCGCTCAAGTAGTGCTCCTCCTTCGAAGGAGGCAGAGCGAAAGGACGAGCTGCGGGAGAAGAAGAAGGTGAAAAATACTTGCTGCCTTGTTCTCCCTCCCTCCCTCCCTCCCTCCCTCTCTCCCTCCTCTGCCTTCCCCTACTACCTCGTTAATCATATCTTTCCTTTGGCAAAGCAGAAAAAGCCGCGGACAAAAAGCATCTCCCCAAGGAAAACAAAGAACAGAGCTGAACTGCTCTCTTCAAGGGAAAAGGGAAAGCAGTATCATAGCAAGGCAGAGAAGCAGAAACACTTGAAGGTACCTCCTCAGTGACTGACAGGCTCTCACCTCGCCGCTGGGAGCCGCAGAGCACTGCCTGGGGCGGGCCCGGCTCAGTCGGCCCATGCGTACTAGAAGAGCAGATGCGTACCTATAGAGGCCAAAGTTTGTGTGGACTGGGATGGCCGGTGATGGCTCGGAATCTCGTGGGGCTGAAAAAAGAATTCTTAGAGCGATTATGAATGTTTGCCTAATATTTGAAACTTCACAGAATACTAATTAAAAATGTGAAGATCCGTCTGAAAATGAAGCGTGTGTTGTACCAATATTTTCGCGATGGGGTTTGTTATCGAAGAAATGTGATATTTATCTCCAAACTAATCTGTATTTTATAAATTTAATATGTATAATTTGAACTCTGACAACACAAGAACCCTTAGTGGAAGGGAAAGGAAATTTCCCTATGGCCTCTGATCCGCCCCATGCGACGTCTTTGCTCGGTG